AGAAAGGCCTACGGACCACACAAATTGAAGAGGAACAATCCAGAAAATGGAGGCCAAACTGATCCTCTCCCCCTTCCCCTCCAAGCTTCACTTCCCCTCTCCCTGTCCAAGAATTCCCAGACAACCCTCCATCCTCTGTTCAACACTCTCCCCCAACAACAATTCTCAAGATAGCAGCAGCAGCAGCAGCAGCAATGGCAAAACAAAGGAAACCCAATCTCCCACCACTCTCAACATCAGATACAGAGCTCGGTCGAAAAGACAACAAGCCAAGCAAGAGAAGCAGAAGCAGGAAGAAAAAAACTTGCAGAAAGAACCAAAACCCGCGAAGAAATGGGAGGAAATGAGACTTTCAGAGAAGGCATTGGAGCTTTACCTGGGAGAGAAAGGAGTGCTGTTTTGGCTCAATAAGTTGGCCTACGCCTCCATCTTCGTTGTCATCGGCGCGTGGATTCTCTTCCGCTTTGTTGGCCCATCTCTCGGCCTCTATCAGCTGGACTCTTCCCCTCTCTCTCCGTCCTCCATCTTCAAAGACGGTTAGATATTTGAAAGAAAAAAAAAAATTAAATCTAATGATTTTGATTATTCCTCTTAAAATGTAATAGTGGAAATAAACTTCGACTAGTTTAATGGATTTTCCGTGCGGAGTTTATAATCATTTATGCTATTTAGCCAGAGTAGAGGATGATAATAATATATATTAGTCTAATGAACTGAGTTGGCTGTTGTGGCAACTCGTTTCCTGATCCTTAGACGACGAACTGTGTGAATTGGTTCTTCTTGTTTGGTTTCTTCGGAGTTATGGTTATTTGTTGAGGCGAGATTCTCTTGAATGAGCTTTTCATTACGTGGAGGAGGAGGAGGAGGATGGTGAGAAGAAGTACTGGACCTTGTAGAGGCAGGGCCTTGCGCTGGTTTGGATAAGGCCGAGGAAGGAGAGATTGAGCTGCTGTCAGTCTTCACCTTCTCTGGTTTCTTGATTAAAACGGGGTTGGTTTGTTCAGTCTTCTGCTGCTGGGAAGCTAATGGTTGCTCTGTTTCGTTAGCTGGTGCTGTAGATGCATGATCAGCGTGTCTTGGTTCCTGTTGAGCCATTGCAGAGATAAGAGGAACTCGAAAACTCTACATTTACTTAAACACATAAGATTAAGAGCAGTAAGAAAGCCATCTAAGGCTCCATTTGGGACTATTTTTTAGTATAAAAATTAATTTTTTTTTACTAAAAATCTGTTTTAAAAATCTATAAAAAAGCTGTCACAACCAAAACCTAAGTCTCCGAAGATAGATGGGTTGCTTTACAGGTGAGTTCTCTATGCCCGTGAAGCCAAGTGAACCAACACTGTTGGAAATTGAAGTGTTTCACAAAGTTAAAATGTGGCGTGTGAGTTTTGTGAAAGCAGAAAGAGCAATGCATGACTGAATACTCCAATGAGATGGAAGGAGAGGTCAGCAACATGAGAATTGTTGATAACTAAATGAATATTACACATTGTGAGAGGGAATATGATTTTTGACCCCATAAGTGATGCCGTTCCGATGATCTAAATTTAGTCTATTTCCTTAATAATAATAAGCTAATTGAATAAACTATTTCTCATGTCCTGAACTAACAAAGGAGCTACAGCCTACAACCATGGCTTTTTCTGTAAAACAAAATTCATTAAAGTCACCTGTTTTCAACGAAATTCATTAAGATTTATAACAACATGGAAAAATAAAGGGCACATAAATATTCTCAGAAATAAATAAAATTTTGGGGATTTACATGAATATCATATAATTCTTATGTCTTTGTATATCTGGCACTTAAAACATTTCTATTTACATATATAATAATTACATAAAAATTTATGAATAAATATAAAGATTTGTGTTAGATATATAAATAATTTTGTGAAAAGTATGTAAATCTCTCAGTAAATTTTTATCCTTTTTCAACTAGTTTATTATGTAAATCCCCCAATGTCAAACGAGCTATTGATGACATGTTGAATTTAAACCTGAGTAGAACGGTATGAATGACAAAAGCATATAGAACTAGCCACAAAACTATATTATTTCCTTTAAAACAATTATTTTAGTTTGAAAGATTCAACATATCTAGTTATCTACTTATGTATGATTGATACGTCAATATGGCGTACCGTAGTTGATGATGGTTGCGAGACAACATACTGCAAGATCGTCAAAAACCATGACCGTCCATTGCTCAAAACATTTTGCCAATACTGGGAAGCTAAATCGTTAGCTCGTGTTCTCAACTCCAGTAGAGTACGATCAATCTTATTTTCATGTTTAGACATATAAGGCTGGATGAAGGTGCTGTAAATATATGTCGTCCCCTGAAATGATTTCCAACATGATCACATTCAACTATGCAGCATATGAAATAAATAGTAAAATTAAGCAATAATGAAATTACACCATAGAAATATACAACTCACCTTTGTTTTAGGATGCCAAAGATATACAAAGAAAACCAATTTAAATTCGCCATACAGAGGCAACCTTCAGTAAAAAAGAATATGCATGTCAAATAATCCAAATTTGTTAATCAATTTGATTTCAAGTACAAGGTCAGCCAGAATGATGAATTCCGATAAGTTAAGCTAAACTTGGTTAAACTCTGTTCAATAGTAACTCTACTCCTACCTATTCTTATCTGAGGGAGTAACAAGACATAGTCTAATATTATAGAGAGGTTGTTTTTTATTATCATTTAACATGTATAACTAAGAATTTCTTTAAGAAAAAAATTAAGATCACAATATCCTAATCAAAATTTTATCAAGAAGAATCTTATATTCATTAGATTTGCTTTTAGATGAGTTGGATTTTAATTAATTAGTCATATAGTACACTCATCTCAAAATAAATTTATTAGGTAACTCAAATTTGATAAGAATATTCTAAGCCAAATTCGTTTTTCATTTTCCTATGCCAGTTATTCATCACACAATACGTAACTGACTAAAATGGACATGATTATTACCATGAAATGAGAGCATCTCCAACTCTCTCAAAAACAGCCAGAACAGCAACTAAAATCCTGAGAAACAAGAAACAGAGAAAATTTAAAATTACGTTGTGTTTGTTGACACATCAAGCGAGGGACAGGATACAAAGCACAATCACCAACCAGTACTGGCACCAAAACAGCAGCTGCTCAATTTCCGGCCTATTCAATTCCACAGTCTTGTAGCATTCATATGCCGGATAGGCATATCCAAGAATCATGCTGTACGAGTAAAATAGACAATGTCGATCTCTCAAATCAAAAGTTACAGAAGACTACAACAACCTCATCATAAATCATTCAACTCATAATCACTTACATAGAAACTCTGGTGAGAAAGCCTCCCATCATTGCGACCAATTTAACATTTCCTCCCCCTGAAGCAACTACTATATGGCTTCTCTAAAGCCCTATATATAAAAAAAAGA